TGAAACAGTCAAAACTACTAGACGGCAGCAAAGAAAAACCACTATAACTAGACAGATTGCTTCTAGTAGTGCTACTTTTGATTCTATGTGTAGCAAGTGGCGAATTTAATCATTGTTGCTATGATATTTGGCTTCAAAGTTTGGTGACGCTGTTTTGATTGGGGTGGCCACTACTGGGTGTGGCCATTACTAGGTGTCCGAGCTTAGTCCGCCACGCACCTTCCTAATGTGTGTTAGAACCCCACTAAAAGAAGCGTGCGGCGTCACCGGAGCCGCGGACTGAAACGTTACCCTTCGGCATCCAATGCTACCCACCCAGTGAGCACATCAAATGACTGAAGCATTGGAAGGATTGTGGTACAGTGTCTAGCGTCGCGTCCTCCAGACTGTTTATTGGTCTTCACCCTTCCACGTAGCGCAATGATTCTAAATAGCCCCACATTCCGTGCATAGCTTAGCGCGAGCAGTCAGCTGCAAGTCAGTCAACGTGATTGGTCAATCTTCAGTCTTATGACGACGAAACTCTTAGAATGCTGCTTGTAGGGGTGAGTCCGCAATCGCTAATCACTGTACCTAGTGATCAGTACGTCTTAGCACTATTGGGCATCTGAGCAGCGTGTGTTACGCATTATAAGTAGTTCCTAGTTATATCTAGTTAGTTATATGTGTGAGCTGGAAAGCCTAGAGAAACTGAGATTATATTGAGTGGACTGATCCAAAACCCGCTGATCTATCAAGGTCAGTAGAAGGATCGAAATATACACTACTGCTATCACATGATCGTACCTGATCTGGATTAGATCTCAGGCTTGATTACCTAAGATTGGACCAGACCAGATCAGTGATCAGTACGTATCTGCTGCGACGAAATTCATGTAGTTACACCCACTACTTATTTAGTTAATTACAACTTTGTTTACTTCCGCGTTCAATTTTCCAAAGGTCCAAAGTGCAAGACCATCTCGTCTCAGGGTGCATCCCAAGGTGCAGGTGAGGTAGCGTCTAACGCTCAGGCCATCTGCGGAACGCGAGCGCAACACGCTAAGATTCCACACGTAGTCACGAGGTTAGCTAAACCTTTACAAGAACAATTCCACAACGCGTAAGACGCGTCCCTGCCCCGCGTCATAGTTTGCACCTCTCACTTTCACACCTTGCATTTTGCACTTTTACACCTCGCACCTTCGTATCGTCGCTGCTGCTTACATTGCACTTTACACATTTCCCTTACTCCTGATCGAATACTTAATGTTCAGTCCATCCTTCGAGTTTTGGTTCGCACGTCAGCCTTCTGAATACTCTCTGGTGCCTTCCGCATCTATGTCTTGGACTATGTCTGTCCACGGTTTTGATTGCAATTACTCCGGTGACGACTTTCTGTGTTCAACACCTCTCGTTGGGAACCAAACCGAACAGGAGTCTCTGTAAGCGCTCTTACCCGACCTCATGTGCTAATAGGCTAGACCCGGGGCTCGTGTCGAAGACGACGACGAAGACAACGCTTAATGCTCCCCCCATGGGTCCGCCGATATTGGAGGCAGGTCGTAACCTGTAAAGTCCCGCCTAGAAGAACAGATTGCAATACACCATCGCTAAGAACGGGACAAATGGCCAGCGCGAAGTCAGGGAAGAGGGAATATAAGTCAATACATGGACAGGGATAACGTTCTTCTAGGCTGTGTTTCTATCACGTCTTGCGCATATTGGCCTCTGCTAGTGCAGAATCTCCATTTGTCCGCTGCACCCATATTAATTGGGTGACAGTCTCAGATTCCCCCCTGCTAGACTATTGAGTCTGCGAGACTCTATTTGTTCGTGCGTATTTGCTAGTCGATTGACTTCTGATCTTTGTTGTAGAAACACGTTTCAACATAGCAGTGAAGAACAGGCATTTGATGCTTTTTACGGATCATGTTTGACATCCACAACCGGATCTTATGGAAGTCACGCGTTCCTAGACAGCGTCGATACTCAAGGGCTTGAGGGGCCTTTCCTACACCAACATCTGCCCCTCGATGACCCATTCCGTGCTGCACCATACGGATCCGCGCATAACGCCAACGCCTATTTGGATGGGTTACTTCCCGATGAAAGCATGGATGGCATAAGTTTCGGGGATCCTTCAGGACCGAGCAAGTTGTATGTACAGCATGCTGCAATCTGTTCAGACCCTAACCCTAGTAACAGAACAGACATGGTATTTGGGAGTCTCTTTGACGGGGCAGACGGGCTCGTGAAGTTTCCTTCGTCTGATGGAAATAACGGAGAAAGACGCTACGCTGCCGGCCGTTTTGCGAAACAGGGAGTGAAAGCTTCGAAAAACGCAAAGGGCAGATATGAGTGCAGGGCATGTCCAGCAAATTCTGGGCGGATACGCGACTACGCATCAACGTCGAGCCGAAGAAACCACGAAAGAGAATCCCACGAGCAGCCCAGAGGAGGCAAGGCAAAATTGAAGAAGGTCAACGTTAAGATGGAACATGCTGGCCAGAAGCGGAAGGAAGAGAAGAAAAGGAAGTTGATTCAAGAAATAGCTGAGAAGCTAGAGGAGCTGCGAAATTGCTGAAAGGGGATAATGGAAGCATGTACAGATCATCAGCCTACTCAGGTATTCGGTTCTGGAATGCCCCTATTCCAAAGCTAAACTCTGTTAAGCTTAGCGTTAGGGCTCTGCAGAGTTCTAGGAGCGTTGAATAACAGCTGGAATCTTGTTGAAACTTGTGCAACTTCTGTCAGTGATGTAAGAAACTCATACACATCAAACAAGCTGCTTCTTGTGCTGTGATATAGATGGCAGGTTGGTGTTCGTAGGTGTGGCCCATGCCGACTCAGGGTTACGCCTACGGTTGCGCTAAGGGCTTAACCTCAAGTTAACCCTAACCAGTGAGGCGACGAAAGAGGCTTAACCAATATGAGGCGGCGAAAGAGGCCAGGATTAAGGTTCCGTTGTGAAGATGTTTAGGGCTTTGCCAAGTCCTCTCGTTGGGCCTTGGTCCAATTACATTGCAGTTCTACTGGTATGCCACGGGCAGTCGGGGCACCGACAAACCTGAGGTAATCTGTTTACAGTTAGATCATGGCCTTTACCCTCTTCGATTAGACGGAGATCGGAATACGGAGGTATATTGTTGCGGTGCATGGCCATGTTAGGTTCTGACGTAATTGTATTGGTTGATGCAATGGATCGTGCATTAGGTCGTTGTCGCGGATACGCACATGAAATTCACGCACATATGCCAGCGTGGGTATTGCGCACCTACGAAGTGGAAATCACAAGAGCTAGTTGTTTGTGGTGGACACAAATAGGGTGTATTTTGCCGTCTTTTGTGTTGTGAAATGAAGGGTGAGGAGTCATCTTGCCCCTAGTTAGGGCAGTTTTTTTTGTTAACCTGCGTGTAGCGGTAATGGGTACAGTCTCAGATATATTGGCCTTGCGAAGCAGGCGATTTGTTTATTCAGCGACGCGTCGTGGGAAACACCTTACCGAAACGGAGTTCGAGGATCAACTGAAGGTTGCGATAGCGCGCACAAAGCACAACATGCAACTGGAGGGCGCGCTTGGATGGATTGGCAAAGCGACAAAAGGAGGGAGGGTTAGTGGGGACAAGACCACAGTACGGGGTAGCGTCCCGGAGAGGTTCTCTGAATTCACTGTGTTTTTTCATTTGCCGCACGAGGTGTCTCCCGGACGTATGCGCGACTGGATGGAAATTCAGCAATCGGGGTGGGTTGTTCAAGAATATGATCGCGAACAGAGTGAAAGCGCGGAGGAGTTTTTTGTATTTCCCTTTGTGGAGTGGGATGCTCCCCGCCTGGGGCGCAAGTTTATAGGGCCAGGTTTGCTGATTAATTCTGGTACGGAATTAATGCAAACTGAGCGGAACGACATATCTGAAGCAGAGTCTGTTTGTTGCACCGAGGGCGGAGACGGTAACGAGGCTGAGCGAAGCGAGTGCAGGAATGATGCCCATTTTCCGTGTCACCCGAAAACCAGCACGAAGCGTGGCAGGAGTCGCTGCAGTCAGAAGATACAATCCATGTCAGGGTACCTGCCGTAAGCGGGGAACGATCTTGAAAATCACGACATGCAATGCCAAGCTATGGACGTGATGCGGTTCCTCCAATTTGCACCTGGAAGTGCATGTTTGTTTATTTGTTTATTAACTCCTACTCGGTTTCAGCCGCGTGCTGCGCAGCTATGCCCGGAGTACCAGGCGTGGCAGACAGCAGACGCAGTGCGGACGTTGATCCGCGCCGCCCCACTTCATCCCTCGAAAGAAACCATCTGTCCCCAAGAACCTGCCATCTTCCATCAACCACCATCTATACGCTTTGGCTGGCCTTCTAGATAGCGGTTCTAATAATTGTATGCTGTATTTTTAGGTCCGTAGAGGCGCGCTGCCTCGTTTGTCGCGTCCACTGTACCTGCAGTCTCCCCCCAGCGCTCGACGTCATTTGCTCATCTCTGATCCCTACTTGCCCAAGGATCTGCGTCTGTTCCATGTACTCGATAGCTTTGGTGGCTAGCTGCGGCGTGCTCAGGATAGTCCTGAGACTGTTCTGTCTGGACAGGTTGGTGAAAATGCGGTTCCGTAGGTCCTTATACTTGCTGCAGCAGGGGCTGGTAACGGTCGGGACGTGTCGACTGAAGAGGAAGTCGTTGAGGCCTATCTTCTCGGTTCGCAGCTGCACCAGCAGTGCGCTTTCCATTTTGCTGGGCTGTTCATGTCTACAAGAGCAAGAGATCAGCTTTGTCTATAAGTCAGCGTGAGATTGCCTGCAGCGCAAAGAGCACGACAGCGATGCATTGCTAGAGGCTTTCGACTAGAGTTACAAAGTAAACTACCTGTGCTGCCCGTAAAGGGTCACTCGGTGCTTTCGTTAAGCTCTTAAGTTTTTGGCGAAGTTTTTCCTACATTGGTTTCTGCAGAAGCTTTCTACTCAGCCCGTTTCGCTCGTCCGGCTTCGATATCGTAGGTCACTACTTTTCCGTCCCAGAGCATTTTCAACTTCATCCTTTGTCAAAGTTCAGGTACTCTGTTCGTGTTTGATAGAGACTGGAGCGGATTTGTCAGTAAGGGCCCGGCCATGTTTCGTTAATTGCCGACTAACAACATTGTCTTTTAGCATGTGACCCTGGTGACGGTCAGGTTGATTACGTAATTACAGGAAAAAGGCGAGAGCGGCCGTCGCCCGGCCAACCACAAACGCAATGCAATGCGACACTCGGCGCCAAATCACAAAGAACAACACTTCACATGTCTACCACGCCGCCAGACTCCACACTTCACACATGAATGCTGCTATGTCTTCTACACAATCGAAGCTCAGTTCGACCATCTCCCTCTGGCTTGATGACATATCTGCATTTCCGCGCCCCAGGTACCTATTCCCATTGTCTATCCAAATGCTTATCGCTGACGTAGAGATAGCACCGCTGCCCTGAACGCCATTCCCTACAACTACGATACGATCAAGACGTGGCCGACGAAACGATCGCACTCGATAGACATGGATTCAGGAATTAGCATTGGCGACGATGCTGCTGCCCAAGAAACGCCTCGTCCCCGAAAACGCCGTCGCAGCTTTGACACTCACCGGTTTTCGCCGCCTGCGTCTCCTACCAAAAGCGAGTCAACCGCCTCCATTTCATCGCACAGAAGCGGAAGGCTCAGCCCTGTCAAGCAAATTCAGGCCCTCGAGGATTTCGACCGCCCGGTCGTCTTCTGCGATTTTGATAGCCTCGAGATGGCTGGCGAGCAGGCGCGTCAGGATGTCACTGCAATGCACACAGCAGCCCAAAGGCTTGCTGATGGATTTGAGATACTTAGCTACGACAGCGAAGACGCGTTCAATGCTGCAATTGCCGAGCTTCCTGAGTTAGACCGGACGAGGCTACAGTATCCAATGGCCAAACATCCTCGCCGTGCTGAGTATGGAGCAACGCCTGCAATCAGCAAGATTTCTAGCATCGTCTGCGCCGCATGGGAATTGAACTCTGGTGCAGGAGGAGCTGAGGATGAGTGGAACACGGAGGTCCAGTATCCGCTACTCAAGGTTGCGCTTGAGACAAGCCGGCATTCGAAGGCGCTCTCCGTCCGTTCCGTGTGAGTTTGGTCTTGCTCTTTTGTCCTAACGTTCAGCCATGTGGGCTAATATCGTGAAGAAAAACTGCTCGTATCGACCCTCCGGCGCTCTGTAACCACAACCTCCCTGGCCGGATCATTGACTATGTTGTCTGCCTCCAACCTGACTCAATCATTTCAAGCGCCTATCGGTCCCTCCGGCCCTTGGCTTCGAATACGGTCAAATCCTGGAACCACGTCACCCGTCTACAGAACCTACCCATCGCCATCAACATCGAGACCAAGGGCCCCATGAAGTCGTGGACAGACGGCAAACCACAAATCGGGATCTGGACCGACGCGTGGCTGCGGCGATGTGAGCTACTCTGGGAGGACGGCCGGGCTGCGCCCGCAGCTATGCACAAGGACTGGCCAGCGATACCAGTGCTCATCTCACAAGGTCATGATTGGCACTTGCTAGTTGTCACGAAAACTAGCGAAAAATTGGTCTTTAGGGAACAGATAATGATTGGAAGTACACGGAACTGCTTTGATGCCCTTAAGGTCGTGGCTGTTTTACATTGGCTCATGAACTGGGCTGAGACTGTCTGGCGGCCGTGGTTTCTGTCGTTGATTGCTGAAGATGATGAATGACTAGCATGAACAACAGGGCAAGAGTCACAGTTGTCTTTATTAGCGGCCCAAGCGAACTTTGAAGCTCGTGTCGCTATGTTTCATAGTCTTGGGTCGAAATCGCACGTTGAGTTTCCGCTTGAAAGTTGGACCATTTCCCTTGCCCTATTTTTCGAAGGCCTGCTGGGCGATGCTTACATAAGGAAGGATGATTAACGTCAAGGATCAGTAAGTGGGCCGGATCAGTTAATGGGCCACCTCACCAAACCCGGCGCGACGTTCTGCGCAATTGATCCACAACAACGCAATAAAATTAGACAAGACTTAAAGAATATAATTTGTTATCTAGCTCTACACTGAGTTCTTGTGTGGCCTTGAACGTGGCACTTCGTGCACGTTGGCGGCGCGCGCTGACGTCGCTGACTGCCC